ATATGGTTCTATTTTATGATATAATTTTTTCTTTTTAGTCGATTAAAAATATAAATTTCTATATTTAAAAATAATTTAATTTGAAACTTCTCAATTTAATGATATGATTTAACAACCTTGCAAAAGTATAAGGGGGTTGTCCGTGTTGGAGAGGTGAGGGTAGTTTTGTTGATACATTTATCTTGAGAATCTTTTTTTTATTTTTGAATTTCAAAGGAATTTGGCCTCAAGCTCAGGGGCAAATTATGTATTCTGCCTTTAGCCCTTGTAAACAGCTTGATGCACTATCTCCCTTCAACTCTTTAAGCTGGAAATATCGGAAAAGAAAAGGAAGAAAAATTCATGGATCGACGTGTTATCTTCACCTCATAAGAACTATGAGATCACCCCAAAGACTAACTCATGTTTCATTCAAATAAATAATCGTCCAAAATCTAAATTAGAGCAATATGGCTATATCCCCTATTAGAGGTGGCAAAATGGTTAAAAGAAAATAGTTGTTCATTCATATTATCCATTAAAAAATGGGTTGAATAATTAACTTTTTAAAAACGGGTGGAATATTGATACGAACCATATTATCCACTTAAAAAATGATTAACCAGTGAATAACTAATGTGTTTAACTTTTACATTTGTAAAGCCTCAAATTGGGGGTTCCTCAAGTTTGGGAGACTAGGAATTCTCCTATAAGTGATCATATTTAAGAAGCCATGGATAATATGGATATCCATATTATCCGCCAGATAACTCATTTTTTATTCGTCTCAAATACGGGTCGGGTCGAATAATTTATCTATTTTTTAATTACCCGCTTTCGACCCCCTCATATCCGATCCGACCCGCCCATTTGCCACCCCTATCCCCTACCAATTAAATTTCCTAGAGTGTTATCGGCATATGAAGGTGGCTTATAGATTGACCAAGCTTCTAGAATCAACTTATTTCAGAAGTACTTTTTATGGTTGGTTAATTAGTTTAAAAAATACTTCTGAGCTGCGATTAGTTTGACCAAGCGTTTAAAAAGTGTTTCTAAGTGCTTTTGGGGAGAAGTTACTTTTTCTGCTTCTCCAAAACTGTTTTTACTTTTACCCAAACACATTTTTTTTCTTTCTAAAAACTTGGCCAAACTCTTAACTTTGAAATTTTTTTTTTTTTACTTTTGAGAAGCTTGGCCAAATAGGCTATTAATCAGATTACTATCTTGACTTGTACCTATGCAGAACTCAACTTTTGATGTATTTTTTCAGTTACAATTAATTCAGCCACACACTTGTTCCAAATTGTATTTATTTTCATCATTTTGTATCTTTTGTAGGACAAGCCCGAAACTTTCTTCTTAGTAACTCTTTCATAAACTACGTTATATCGTTGTATGAAGATATTTACCTAATAAGGTGTGTATATATATATATATATAACTGTACCGATTTATATATATATATATATATATATATATATATATATATGTGAAGAATAGTTAGTTTTAATACTGTTAGGTAGTTAGTAGGGGCTTCAGCTGACCCTAGTTAGGTTGTTAGAACTATAGTTAGTTGTTGTAACTATAAGTTAGACACATATATTCTGTAATTACACTTCATTCAATAGACAGAAATTATTTCCCTTCTTCTTTTCTCGGCAACTATCTTCTTACTCATTTCTCTCCCAGTTATGCCGATGATTCATTCGAGTAGTCTTTGAGAGAATTGTAGATTCAGCTCAAATTATCGAGCTCACATGGTATCAGAGCAGCGTAAGGTCTATATTTCCGCAATTAATATTAGATCTACGATATTCTTCTTCTCACAAAGCTCGATCAACAGTCGTTAATGAGCGGGTGAAAAAATCGATAAAATTGATCACACACATCCTCTATTTGTCCATCCTTCGGATAATCCTAGTTCGATTTTGATTCCTGTAAAGCTCACAGGATCAGAAAATTATGGAATATGACGTCGATTTATGCGAATTGCACTGCAAGCTAAGATGAAGCTAGAGTTTGTGCTAGAGACATGCAAAAAGAGCTCGTTTGAGACCGCATTGCATGAAGATTGAGAGACATGTAATGCAATTGTGTTGTCCTTGGATCATGAACACTATGTCTCCAGAATTGCTTAGCGAAATTGTGTACACATCTGATGCACATCTGGTTTGGGAAGATGCGAAAGAGAGGTTTGACAAAGTAAATCGTGTGAGGATTTTTCAGTTACACAGAGAGATAGCTACCATCTCGCACGGGACAGATACTGTATCTGCATATTTCACAAAGCTCAAAGAGCTATGGGTTGAATATGATGCAATGGTGCCTATTCCTAATTCGAAGGAATATGTTGAACAACTCCAACAACAAAGGTTAATGCAATTTCTGAGTGGACTCAATGAGACCTATGATCAAGCAAGAAGGCAGATCTTAATGAAAACTGTAGAGCCAGCCTTGAATCAGGCCTATGCGTTGATAATTGAAGATGAGAGTCAAAACTCTAACTCAACTGTGGGATATAAAGGAAATCCCATTGCTATGCAGGCAGGGGACAGCCAATGATTCAAACCAACAAATACAAAGGGAAGAAATCATTCATAAAATGTGACTACTGCAACAAGCCAGGGCAATAAAAGAAAAACTGCTACAAACTTGTTGGATATCCAGATGACTTCAAAAATAGAAAAACATATGCAGCAAACTTGACAACTGGAGCTCTTGGGAATGACAAACCAACAGAGGATCGTGAAGGAAAAGGCAGAGATGATACACTGAAAGCAGGGCCATATTTTACTGAAGTAAAATACAGGCTGTCACGATCCTAGTTCACCGACGGTGAACATGTCATGACGGCACCTAGACGGCGAGGCCAGTTAATCCTAACTCATTGCGGAAAAACCATTTATCACAAGAAAAGACAATAAAATCCGAAATAAATAAAGAAATATAATAAGTGCCGCTCGGAACATACACTCAGCATTTATACTCATTTTGATACCATTCCCAAAACCCGAAAACTCACGGACAACATAGACTAAAACTTAGAATAAATCAAGCTCTAATCATCCGGAAGTCTAATACAAAATGAAACAGAAAGAGATGCTATCTAACTATGGATAGAGTGGAAGGAGGACTCGTCAGATCTGCGGACGCGGCAGATTCATACCTCAAGTCTCCTGGGATCAGCTCCGGACTCACTGCTGGAATGCCGTGCCGGAAGTACCTAGATCTGCACAACAAAAGTATGCAGAAGAGTAGCATGAGTACACCACCACACAAGGTTAGACAAGCCACTTACCTCGAACCGGTACCAAAATCAATAGGAAGCAAAGCCCTTGCCACGAGTATCCAACTCCGAGTGGCCCGAATCTATTCAAACCAGTTACAACATATAAATAACAATGCAATTAACTAATTACACTGAAAAATTGAAGCTACGGCGCAAAGATAGGTAAAATTACCAAAACGCCCCTTAAGCCAATGTCTCGGAATCAGAATATTTTTACATTTTAAGAAACCTTGCAAAATTTGAAAATTTAAGCATATATAGCATAATAGATCATCTAAACTTTTGCTAGAACAATTCTAAATTAATGGGTACTCGTTCGCTCTAATTAAATAAAGATAAATTCTTTTAAGCAATTCATCAAACACCTTGTATGCGCGCTTTTGTGAGTTAAACCACTTTAGTAAGGATTATATCAACTCACCTCAAAACTCCTCGAGCCAATACATAGGCCCAAATCCAATTGACACCAGTCAAACAATCGATTCTACACCAACCAGTGTATTTTAATCAATTTTAAAGTACTACACCTAAATATGAAATTTATTGGTGATATAGAGGAAGAAGGGAAATAACTACTCAATTCTTAGCTAATACTACTACAGGATAATTGATAATAAAGAATTTTATATACCTGATTCCAAGAATTTGTAGTTTGTAGATAACCCTAAAACTTTCTTTTTGCTCTGCGTTTGCTGCGTTACAGAACAACGTTGTGTTCTCTGTTAGGTCCAACGTTAGCCTTTTAGGCTTTAAGCCCTTTTTTTATTCTTTTCTTTTATTCCAACAGAGTCGTATAAGGCTTTAAAGCCTTGAGCCCCTTTTTATTTATTTAAATTGTTCAAGGCTTTAAGCATTTTAAAAGCCCCC